CAAAAATCCCACAGGGTCTGTCATCAGGCAGTGTTTTCAATGGTCTGTTTACTAACAGCTGCATTGGAAATCCCTGGATTCCAAAAAGGAATTTTCCCCATCGTCATCATCAGTCCCAGTTGCTTTCTAAACCTGGCCACAACGTTTCACATTTCCTTCCTTTTTTCCACATTTTTATTAATGCATATCGAGTGCACAGTGTAGGGGTTTCATTGTGATATTTCCATTCATGCATATAATATACTTTGATCATTTTCACTCCCTCTATAACTCTTTCTTAGAGCTCCAAGGTTTTCCTAGGAAGGCACGGTGGACAGATTCAAGGTGGGTGGTAACAGGGAGAGGGGTGAAGGAGAATGTGGAAAGGAGAGCCAGTGAGTGAAATCTCCGCCAGCTACCTGCTCTGGTGCATTGGTTTTGGGAAAGAATGTTTGGCAGTTAGTGGCTGGGAGCTTGATTTTCTTAGAACTGTTGTGCTCAGGGACCCCTTGGCCAGTATACACAATCCCCAGGGCTCTATGTGCCGACTTGGAAGACCTGCTCCCGAGGACATTCGATCTGAGGCCAAGCCCCAGAGAGCTTCAGGAACCCCACTTATCATGACTTCCCTGTGTAAGTCCCCAGTCCTCAGCAAACCCTGACCCAGCTCCTCTTGGAAGCAGGAAGGCTGGGTGCACCAGAGCGTTTCATCTGTGAGCTTTTCATCCATCTGCTTTGGATGCCTGTTGTCTTAGATTCTGTGTATCCTGAAAGGTGTTCAGACTTTTCCAGAGCTAGCTAGCTAGCTAGGTGCACATGACAGGAGGTACAGGTGACTACCTACGTGTTTCATCAGAAGGCTGCCTCCTCTCCCAGGGCCTCCCCCTCCTTTTGTTCATGGCCTTGCTAGTCTTCCTCCCAGGAGGGCACTTAAGTCAAGGCCTCTGCCAGGTGCTTACTGAAATGCTAGGCAGGAGCTGTTAACAAGGAGTTACCTTGTGGCCTTGGGACTGTGGACTCTTGTTGACGCACCGCAGGCAGCAGGAATGGGGGTAGTGAAAGGTTGGTGTGTGCTGGCAGCTATACTCAGGGCACTCAGTTGAGGACTTTTGGGAGTCCTGTGGCAATGTCAGTTGCTGTAGGGGCTCTGCACCCCACAGAGTGAGGAGGACACAGCTGTTCTGCATCCAGGTTATCTGCTATGGTAGCACAGGGACAGCTCTGAAGGCTGGCTTTGAGCCAAGCCACTATCTGAGCATCCCTGGGCCTGGACACCTCTAGAACTGTCTGATCACCTGTGAAGGATGGCTGTGTTGCCCCAGCCTCACCAGGACTTGGGAGGGAGTGAGGCCAGGCGTGCTTTGTCACTGGGAACTGCTCACCAGCACCGTCTTTGTGGACCTTTCCCTGCCATGCTGGCTGTATGGCACTTGCAGGCAAGGGAGTAAGGCAGAGCTGATCAACCTCTGGCATGATATGTCATCCCTGTGGTCTTCACTTCCCTCCACTCAAAAATGAGGGTAATAACTGCCTTCATCTGTTGGAGTTGTGAGGATGAATTACGCTCTCGTGAGAATCCCCTGGGCAGGACCCCACCTGCTGGAGGGGACTGGACTATGTTACACTTGCCTGCCCCCTTCCTGGGCTCCCCACCTGTGCAGTCCTGCTTAGAAACATCAAAGGTGATGTGGGCTACAGGACTTAGCAGGTAGGTAGTGACAGTAACAGTGACATGACAGTGACTGCCATGGTTCACAGAAGAAAGGAGAGTCTCATTCCCCAGTAGAAGAGGAAGGAAGGGCAGGGAGCCAGCATGGGGAGAGGACTGTTTGAACTAAGCATGTCAGAGAGAAGTCCCTCTAGTGGCCCAGGTCATTTTACTGGAAGGTTTTTGGGGAGAAATTTTGTGTTATAACCAAGTGATAATCAGAATGTTGAAGAAACACAAAAGTTCAGGGAACATTTCAGTATATTGTGGCTGCTTTCAGCTATCCCCAGAGGTGCAACTGGGGAGACCAAAGCCCTGAAAGCACAGGCGCTTAGCTAACCCCCTGGCTGACCTTTGCCCCTTCCCTAACTCCAGGTGGTCTCCAACATTAAGGGCTCTTTCTGATTTCTTACGTAATTCAGATGGAAAAGCGCCTGAAGGCAACCCCCATGGCGGATCTGTGCGAAGCCGGTATTCAGGGAGCTGGATTTTTGACCAAGCATTGAGATATGCATCTGGTACGTGATGGCTGAGGGACAGGGCCTGATCGGGGTCAGTATGAGGGTGGGCATAGCTGGACATAGCCTTCAGTGGCACACCCCAAGTGAGCAGGCCCTGCTATTATCTCAGGACCCAGAGGAGCCTCCCTCCCAAACCCTTAGTCCCGTGTGTGAGCAAATGTGACCCTGCCCTGGGGCCCAGAAGCCCCTGGCTGCTGGTGGGATAGTGGAGCACTTGGAAATCCAGAAGTCTACACTTTGTGGACCATTTAGCAGCACTTAGAGTGGGGCAAGAGGGTGCCATGGTCACTGGGTTTGGGAAACCTCTGACTTGTCACACTACAGCCTGCATGAGTCCTCCCCTGTGCCTCCCAGGATTGGGCCATGTCAGATCTTCCTCACACCTTGGCCATGGTCCTCTTTATCCTGGGATGCATTCAGGAAGTTGGGATCCAAAGGAAAAGCTTTGGAAATGCTGATGGTAACAGTAGCTATCCATAGCTATCATTAATTGAGTGTCTGCTGTGTGCAGGCACTGCAGTAAGGATCTACAGTGTTACTGCCTCCCCCTCCCCCTTGTGGCACAGTTTTGGAAAAGAAACCCGAGTTGTAGGTCATCCCATGCCTTGTTGGGGCACTCCAGTTGGTACATGGTGTGCCAGGATTGAGATCTAGGTTGGTTGACCTTGCTGCCTCTCTGGTGAGGGCTCCCTATGCCTCATCTGCCATGTCTCTGCCTACCTGGTGCCTTCCAGACAGGGCACCTGAAACCCAAGGACTTAGGATGAGTGAGGGGCAGCCTCAAGTGTCCCTCCTACCATACCAGCAAGCTGTGCTCATCCTCACTCTGTGCCAGGATCAGGAGGTGGGCTGAGGAGCCACCGTACCCCTAATGACTCCCTGAGTGTTTTGGGGCATGTGAGCAGGACTGGGTGAGCCCACAACTCTCTACAGGCAGGCAGGGGAGACTCCCACAAAACCAGGTGGGTCTGGCTCAGTTATGAACAGCATCGATGTTCATAATCTGGGTGGGCCAAGGTCCTGCCTCCATGTCCCCAGGTCCTGCTCTGGTTATTGTGGCACCATCACTCAATTGTCTCCATGTCTGGTGACCTGTCTGCTCCCCGCAGAACAGAGGGCAGGAATAGCATCTGGCTTGCTGTTGGGGCCTCAATGCACATTGCACATTGCAGATGCTCAATAAATCCTTGGTTGGTTGAAGAGAATTGGCAGTAACTGTTGGAAAACTAGCCGGAAGAGAGTCGAGGACATTATCACTTAGTGACAGATGAGGGTGGCTACAAAACTCATGAATTTAATGAGTCCTTGCTGTGAAGCAGTAACAGGTCAATTACAAAGAATCTTGGCCTGATCTTGCCCCACATGATGTGTTTGTGTTTTTCTCCATGTGGCAAGATTGATATACCTGCAAACCCTAATAACAGATTACTGAATGTCATGTGGCATTAGGGTGACAGTGGCTCCTGGAATGACCCACACTAGTAGCACTAACATCGTCCACTCTTCTCTCTGGCAGTGGCTCATGTGTGTCTCTCTGTGACCCTGACCTCACTTGGGTAGGAGTCAGTTGTGCTGATGGGTGAGGAAACAGAGGATTGGACAGGTGAAGGAACGTGTTTGAGGTCAAATAGTGCAGGGGTGGCAGAACTGGGCTGACAGTCTCCACGCCAGGATTCTCCCTGCTTAGTGTGACTCCTTGAGTCACAGACAGCTGAAGGGCCTCTGCAGCCAGGCATCACCAAGAGGCACAGTTAGCAATCACTGCTGCTTCCTAAGGGTCGGCAGCTGTGCTGGGAAACTTGCTCACGTGTGTTCAGTCTTCACATCAACTTTCTTTCCTTCTCCATGGTTTTCCAGTGAGGAAACAGGTTCAGCCCATGAATATAAAGCTGAATTCCATCTCTGGCCTCACTGTAGACCAGCAGTTCCCTCACCCAGCTGCTGAGTTCTCTGGAGACCTTTTCAGAAAAGGCAGATTCTTGGGCTCCACTCCAGCTGCTCTAGAGCACCAAGGCTGTATAGGACCTGGGCCTCTGTGTTTGCAGAGCTCTCTGGAGGTGGAGATGGGTTGACTCTGCTCCAGGAGTCTCTGCCAGGCTGGGTCCAACGGGCTCTGCTTGGCTTCCTGCCATGGGCTTTACCCCTCACTCTCCTGGGAGGGGACTCGCAGTACTGCAGTCAGGTGTTGGAACTTGCTGATCTCTCTGTGACTGCGGAACATGGCAGCCTCTTGGCAAGTGTGGGTGCTATCCATGTCCAGTGTGTCTGTAGTGGGGCTGGACATTTCCTAGAGAGAGTGTAGGCCACCTTCAAGGGAGAGCCCATTCTACAAAGGCTTAATGTGTCTGAGGAAATCACCAAGTTCATGCTACTGGTAAGTAGCAGAGCAGGGACAGGCATCCAGGTGTGTCCAGATTGGAAGTCTGTCTTCTTACCCTCTGTTCCGTGCTGGGCAAACGGCAGCTGGAGAGTGCGCTAGTGCATTTAAGGAATGATGTTCTTGTGCAGTCGTTCCTTGCAGGGCACTTTGCGTTGGTCTCCTCTTTTTAGTGTGTAAGTACGAGGGTTAGCTGAGGAATTCCTATAGAATTGGAAGCTGAGGCCCAGAAGTGAGGGTCACCTTGCCCAAGGTTATACAGAAAGTTGGAGGCAAACGTGGATATAGACCCCAGGCCTCATGACTTCTAGCCTGGTGCTATCCATGTGACTTCTTTGTCTGCTGGGATTCTGGGGCCTTGCAGTCAGATGTGGCACTGACTTCACATCAACCTCTGTCCTCTGCTGTTTTCCAGGGTCATATGAGTGTGGAATCTGTGGCAAGAAGTACAAGTATTACAACTGCTTCCAGACCCACGTCCGGGCACACCGAGGTGAGTGGGTGTCCTAGGCATGCCTCTCATCCTCTGCTTTTGTCCCACTGGGGCCTCTCTCAGGTTTCCCTAGAGTCCCAGAGAGTTCTTGTCTTCTCTAGTCCCCTTTGTCTTTACCATAGGAGGGAGGGCCAGGAAAAAGAGAGGCCTCCTTGACGTAGGAGGACATGGGGTGGGAAGGGAGCCTCAGGACAGGCAACACTGCTTGTCAGCCATCCCCACAGACCATGTCTTATATCACCTTGTGTGTTCCTCATGACAACTTGGGAGTAGGACCATAGCTGTTTTCCATCCTGAACCCCAGGATGGAAACCTGCCTCTCCTTGAGCCTGGCAAGCAGGGAAGAAAGGCACAGGGTTAGAGCCCTGCTGGCATTGTGGACCAGGGAATAACTGAGGCTTTGGCCCCTGTGACTTCCGTGGATCGAGAGCTCTCCTGGGCTCCCCTCACCACCACCTGCTCCACTACAGCTTGCTTAGTTGGCACTGGCCCCGCCATTGTCGTCCTCAGTCTACTCACCTCCTCCTCCCACCCCCTGCCCCTCTCTCTCCCTCACAGACACTGAAGCCACTTCGGGGGAGGGAGCTTCCCAGAGCAGTGAGTACTCTTCCCTTGTTGTGGGCTGCTGGGGGCTGTGAGCTGGGCACGGGAGGAAGAGGAGTAGTTCATTTCTTCCCCCGGGACAGCCCCAAGTGACCTCTGAAACACACATTGCTGGGAACCATGCTTTGGGGCCACAGGGGTCTCATGAAATCAGAACACATGCCTCAGAGCAACTCTTCCCAAAGTGGGTTTTACAGCATGCTCATTTTGGAAAAGGTTACCAGATGTTCTGTCAGTAAAGGGTTCTCCAACCAAATAACTTTGGAAAACCTTGATTTAGACCCAGACAAGTGGCTTCCTTACTGTGGATGGCCAGGGTCCTTCATTGGCACCTGTGTCTGTGCATTTCCAGAAGAGCCCAGCCAATGCAGCACTCCTGTGTTCTTTGGACACTGACTCATGGGTCTGAGGGTTGTTTGTTTGCTTGCTTGCTTATTTTGGTGGTACTGGAGTTTGAACTCTGGTCCTCAAGCTTGCTAGGCAGGTGCTTTACCACTTGAGCTACACCACCAGTACTGTTGCTTTTAGTTTGTTTTTCAGATCAGGGTCTCATGCTTTTGCCCAGAACAAGCCTCAGACCATGATCTTCCTATTTCTACCCCCAGAATAGTTGGGGTCTGGAATTCTATAGCTGACCCTAGAGAAATGCCAGTTCAGAATTTTCTCATGACCATTTGTAAACGGTCATGACTGCTTATTAGTGCTTTGCCTTGGGGGTGCCATTTCCTAGTACCTGGGGCTATGTAGGGCCTTGACATCTAGGGTAGCTGCTTCCATGTCCACTTGCCCTCCCTCCAGCCCTAAACTTGTCGGGGTAGGAAGCCGCCAGCCAAGTGGGTGTAGACTGGGCTGGGACCTCTGCCCACTCAACCTGAGCTTCAGGAGTTCCATCCCAGGTGAACATCCCACAGAGGTTCATGCACACGTCCATCAAAAGATGCAAAGCATGACGTTCTTAGTGCACTGCACCTAACAACTCCAAACCAGAAGCCACACACATGCCCCATGCTAGTCAAGTGCATAAACAAGTACCTTCACACCAAGAACTACTCTACAGTAGTGAGAAACCAGGGTGTACCTGCACTGTACTTGGGTGACACTCACAAACGCAACATGGAGCAGAAGTGAGACGCAGAGGAGTTCAGCCTCTAAGACTCTGTTCAGAAAGCACAAACTCGGGGACAGGGATGGACACTGGGAGGCGGAAGCGGGGCAGTGCCTGGGAGGGCTTCCACCTGTGCTGCATGGGCTGGGCTGGTTAATAGGAGCTTTCAGTTTATGGGAAGGGATGGAGCTGCTTGCTTGCAACCTGTACCCTCTCCTACTTTAGGGGTCAGGAATCATTTTCTATAGGGGGCCAGATTGTAAGCAGTGTAGACTCTAGATGTGTGGCAGTATTGTCCAGACACTCAGCGCTGCCCTTGTAGTGGGAACTTCAGTGGGGAGAACATGTGGCTGATTCCCTACCCATAAGTATGGAGACAGAATCTGATTCACAGATCTAGTGTTCCCCTCCTGTTCCTCGTCATCATTACACCACTATAAAAATTTTAAGATAATAAATACACATTACCAAAAACAAGAAAAAGTGGCCTGAGGTTTAAGGAAGGCCCCAAACTGGGGTCTGATAGCATTCTCTTCTAAGGCACAGTCCCACCTACTGTGTTTGGATTCCTGGGCCATGTGAGAGGCAGACAGGGCTGAAAAAATGCCCTCCAGGTTCAGGTTGGTTAGACACCTGCCATGGGGTCTGAGGCTGGGGGAGGCAGAAGCCTGTCCTTTCTCTGGCCCTGCCCCTGTCCTATCCCAACCTGGCCCTGACTCCTGTCCCCCTCAATAGCTCCCTTTTTTTCTGGCTCCTGTGGTCTGCCTGTGGTCTGCCACACACTTAAAGTAAGTTCCCTATTTTATCTTTCCTCCCTTGGTTATTCTGGGCTCCTGGCTTCCGCTGTGCGCAGGCTCGCTGGCATTGAGGGCTCTGTGGCCAGGGGTATACTTAATCTTTTCCTCACTTTTTCCTTCTTCCTCAAGGAACATTCCCTCACAGCCAGCAAACTAGGTTGCCTTCCCAGTCCTGCATCCCACCCTGGCCACCTGGTGAGCTCATGTGCTAGCATCATCATAAGGGCCTGACCGTGGGGCCTGCAAGAATAGTGCATCCAGCCTATCTACTTTGCAAATGAGGCCACTGAGTCCCAGAGAGTGGAAGACATGCAGATGTTAGCAATGGAGTTGGGCCTGGACACCAGGTCTCACACATCCTGTCCAGGAGCCTTCTGTTTATTAGGAAAATAGCCGGTCATGCATAGAGGCATGAGGGCATACCCACTCACCCATCTCTCAGCACAGAAGACAAAAGGTTAGCCCCACACATTTCCCTTGCTGCCCTCTCCGTTGATCCTCTTCAAAAAATAGTGTTGGGCAGCATTTACCAAATGACACCCCATTGGGTGTTATTACAAAAATTGTTATACATTACTGTTTATATAGTTCATTTATTCCTTATTACAACTCTGGGAGATGAAGGAACTATTGTTATTCCCATTTTGCAAATGATAAAACTGAGGCACAGGTAGGAAACTGTCTAAAGTCAGCCACACTTATAAATAAATGGTAGAGTGGGGTTTGGAGCTCAGGTGGCCTCACTTCAGAGCCCACCTCCTAGAACTCATTTGTAGCACTGAGCTCTGAAAATATGATTTCACAGCAACCCTTTTGCCTCCTTTGGCAAAAGTTCTCTTACCCTGTTCAACTTCTCGAGACATCAGGAGTTGGGAATGTGGTCCTATCCACATCATCTCCTTGTGGATGATGAACTCAGCAGGGCAACTTGGGGTGCTGCTCAGCAGCAGGAAACTGGGGTGGCAGACATGGCTCCTAGTGAGAGAGACTGACCTGCTGGCAGGAGAGGCTGTGTGGACAGAGACAAGGTAAGTGGAATGGGCAGCTTTGGAGAGCAGTCAGCCCTGGTCAGTGTAAGAGAGGACTGTCAGGGCAGAGCTCCCTCTGGAGCCACACCCCAAGAGGTCTTCTCCACCTCCATTTCCTAAGTGTCTAGCAGAGAAGGTGGGATTGGGAACTGGATGGGACAGGATGGGAGAGGATGTTATCTAAGCTGGATTGCTGGCCTCTGGAAAGGACTGAAGCTGAGCTAGGCATGAAATCCTGGAACCACCAGCTTGGGAGAAGCCCCAAAATTCAGATCATATATTATTCTCTTCTACTCCCCAAACTGGGGTAGGGGAGAAGAACCAGGCCTCTGGTACCCCACCCCACCAGCTCCCTCAAAAGATTCTAGAATCTACCATCCTCAGAACATCTACAGTGCCAGGGCTATGGGCTTCTTGCTTAGGGGCTAGTTAGTCTCTCTGATCCTGGCATCTGCTGAGTAACTTTGAGAAACTGCCAGTACAATGGAAGAGGTGATGGCAGAGATGGGAGCGTGTCCCCAGGTTCAGCTGAGGGGGCAGAAACCTCTTGTGCTCTGCAAGCAGTGCAACCTTGCATGGGGAATCTCATTAGATCTTGGACTGAGTGCTGAGGAGGAGGAGAGGGGAGGAGAGGGCCTAAAATAAAGCACCCCAGCCTAGGGATGTAGGACGGCTAATCCAAGCAGAGAGGGTCATGTGCCCTGACTCAGCCGTGGTTTGGAGTTAAGTGGATGTTTGACTCCTGGCTCTCCCCTTCCCTCTGTGCAGCCTTGATCAGAACTTGTGTGTGCTTTGGGACCCTTGGGGAGGTGGGATTGAAGGGCCCCGCCTGGATCAACCAAATGAATATACCAGCCAGGTATGTCCTAGTACCACTGCTATTCTAGCGCCACTTTGGTCAAACCTGAGAGGGCATCCAAATTCAGGCCTGTGTTAGTCATCTATTACTGGGTAGCATGTGTCCCTAAAGCCCAGTGACTTAAAGCAACAAACACTGGTTATGTCTTAATGTCTGGTTTCTATGGAGGAATTATTTGAGCATGGCTTCACTGGGTCCTCTGACTTAAAGGCTCTAACAGGGATTCATCAGAGATTGGCCAGGGTTGTGGTCTCATCTGGAGGCTGAACCAAGGAAAGGCTTCTTCCAGGCTCATTCAGAAGTTGCTACAGGATTCAGTTTTTCCCACTCTATGAGGGCCTTGGCTATTCACCAGAAACTGCCCACCTGCATCTCTTCATCACACAGCTGACAAAATGGCAGCCAGCAAGAGGGAGCAGGAGAGCGATGGCATGTGCAGATGAAAGTCAGGGTCTTCTGAAACCTAATTTCAGAAGTGATGTCCACCCCCACACACACTTGCACTGCATTCTGTTCATGAGAAGCAAGTTACAATGTTCAGCGTAGATCCATAGGAAGGATGTCATACAGTATGGGAATACCAGTCAGTGAGTGTCATGGAGTACTATCCCTTGAAGCTGGACATCCTAGCTATGGGATTTAGGGCAGGTCTGTTCTGGTCCTCAGTTTCCTTATGTGGAAATGGGAAACTCCCTCCTTCCTTTGGGTCAGAACAAACTGAGGAAAGGAAGGGCAAAGGCCTGGCCTGGCATTTCTATAACTTCTGTGATAGGAGTGGAACTCCTTACGAACTATACACTTAGGGCAGCTTGAGAATTGGCTAGGGAGTAACTTTGAGGATTCCTCGTCACAAAATGATCCTGGATCTCCACAGAGGAGCCCTAACACCCCAGCTCCAGCTCTTTTTGCCTAGGAAGCAACTCAGGCTGGCCTGGAGTGGGGGGGGGGGGGGGCGGGGCGGTAATCCAGAGAGAAGATGGGGCCATGGCCTCTCCATTCTGGAGAGTTGAGCAGTGTGCCCAGGCACAGATGGGTCAGAAATGGGTTCTCCACAGGGCCATCCAAACTGGACTGGTCTCATCTTTAATTCCCAAGTCAAATTTTGTGGTCAGAAACCCCTACCCCAGGTGACTGGTGCCCTGGTAAGCACCTGTGCCTTTCCTTCCCTTGCAGACAATTTCAGGTACACATGTGACATCTGCGGGAAGAAGTACAAATACTACAGCTGCTTCCAAGAGCACCGAGATCTACATGCGGTGGATGGTGAGTCAGACCCCTCACTTCTTAGTCCTCCAGAAAGGTGTCCTCCCTCTGGGACACCAGCCCCTACCCTGTCCCTGCCTGCCTCACCTCTTACCCATGGAAAGATCAAGTGCACCAGACACACAAGAGGAGGGACCCACCCCGGAGGCTTCTGCAAAAGGGAATGTCCCCATCATTAGCCATGTATGCTTCTGTGAAACTGCCATTTTTCTAGATCAAAATCAGTTGAAAATTGAAATTTTCTATCGTGTCATTTTATAGTTTATATTGAATATTTGCATGCTCTGCTGAAATTAAACCAATTTTTAAAAACGAATGATGATGTTTTTAGCATCTGAAATTATAGAGTTAGAAATTAGAACAGTAAATTTAGGTAATTCATTTGTGGAGTTTTAAGAATCCTAGAAAGAGGATCTTGGGCCAGAAAGGACTTTGGCATTCCCTCTGTAGCACCTTTCCCCCCAATCTGGAACCATGACTCCAGCCACTACCTGGGCTACTGCCTTGTCCTCCTCTCATCTTTGCTTTCCCTCTACCTCTTTTCTACTGCCCTGCCCTCAAGTGCATTATGGGGATCCAGACACAGGTCAAGGCAAAAACAGTCCACCTGCCCTCAAGGAGGGGGAATTGAGACACGGGCTGTGTTCTGGTGGGGGCGTGCTTTCCTGTGGCCCCTACCTTTCTGAGTTTTCACAGTGGCCAAAGTTGTCCTTCTGGCCCCAAAGGCAAATCCTCTGGGACAGAGGCTGGGAGTGGTAGACAGAGGCAGTGATGGCCAGGGACTAACAGGGCTCCTGTTTGCTTCTTTCCTTCTGCGGCTGTCACCTCCCACCCGGGCACAGTGTTTAGTGTGGAAGGTGCCCCTGAGAATCGGGCAGGTAAGTCCTTGTGGCCACCCACCTTCCCCATCCCCAGCTGGGCTCCCAAGATTTGGGTGACAGGGTGCTAAAGGTCATGTGTTCTCCCACAGACCCCTTTGACCAAGGTGTCGTGGCCACTGATGAAGTGAAGGAGGAGCCTCCGGAGCCATTCCAGAAAATTGGGCCAAGTATGCGGGGCCAAGGACTGGGCAGGGGCTGGGTGAGGGACGGAGGTGGGGCTGAGTTCTGTCTTTGGAGGGTGGCATGGTGTTCTAAAGCAATGGTGCCCACCTGTCAGTTGGGCAAGGCAGCCTCAGGACATTAGCTTTGGAGGAGCTGCAGACAGTGTGGGTAGTGAAGGCAGCCGGACTGCAGCTGAGTAAGGGCTCTGCTGCTTGCGAGCTTGGCATCCTGAACCTCAGCCTCCCCATCTGTGGAGTGAGGCCAGCACTCCCTGCAGGCTTGTTGGGGGATTAAATGAGATCATGAACATAAATGCTTGTTAGCACAGTGCCTGGTACATGGTAGGTGCTCAGAAGATAACTGTTGGAGTCACTGGAGGGGCTGCTTAGCCAAGGAAGCACAGAGCAGCTGCGTGCAGACACTGTTTTGGCCCCGGTAAACCCACATGAGGGCAGGAGCCACACATGGACTTGCTCATTTTCAGCACACTTGTATTGAGTGTGATTGGGGCATAGCTGTGAATAGGACAGACGCCTTTGGGTAATTCTCACAGGAGTTGGGGGTGGGAGTCAGTAGATGTGAGCAGATAGCTCTACCCAGAGCTCCACGGGCAGCTCTGGAGCCCGGGGAGACCAGTCCTGGGAATGTAGGACACTCCTAGGGTGGGGACAAAGGTGGGGAAGGAGCCCTCACATCACAGCAAAGATAGAGTGTGCTGGTTCTGAGAGGGAAAGGAGAATCTGACAGGATCAGGTCTCAGAGGACTCTTGGAGGTGACATTAGACTTCATCCTCACAGAACTGAGCCAGTTTACTAAATAGGCTTAGTACATTTCAGGGAAGCTGGTATGGCAACTGGGCAGAGAATGGATGGGAGAGGCTGGGTGACCAGCCTGGCACAGGTGTGGAAACCCTCGATCCCACCCTTCAGCTATTTCTGTGCTTGCTTATTCACCTGTGTCCTGTGCCTCACTCACTACCCAGTAAGAGAACTTTATTATTTCTGCTTCATTACTATAAGGATATAAGATAATTTATAAAAATTTACCAAATCAGAGTGAGGCACAGTGGCTCAAGCCTGTAATCTCAGCTACTCAGGAGATGTAGATTGGGAGAATCATGGTTCGAAGCCAACCCAGGCAAAAAGTTTTCAAGACCCCCATCTCAAACAGTGACTGGGTTCAGTGGCTCGTGTCTGTCATCCCAGCTATTCAGGAAGCATAAATAGGAGGATTGTCATCTAGGCTGGCCTTGGCATAATGTGAGACCCTTTCTCAAAAATAACCGATACAGGTGGGTGCTGGTGGCTCATGTCTGTAATCCTAGGTGATCAGGAGGATCACAGTTCCAAGCCAGCCCAGGCAAATAGTTCAAGAGACCCTATCTCGAAAATACCCAACACAAAAACAGGCTGAAGTGGTAGAGTGCCTGTTTAGCAAGTGTAAGGCCCTGAGTTCAAAATCCAGTACTACCATAAAAAAATTACCAAATCATGAGGAAGTCTGAGAGAGGGAAAGTCAGAGTTGCTGAGACACCTATGTAGGATGTGCAGAGGGGTACTCAGTCCAAGCCCTCGAGAGGTGCTAGATGGGTCCCTGAAGGCTTTTCCTTCCTCCTACCTTGTTGTGGTAAGAGGATGGGGTGGGTCATGACTTTCTTGATAACTCTTCTTGAGTCATTCAGGAAACTTGAGAGGCGATGATGTCTGCAAAGTGGATGGCACAGTGCCTGCACATGCACACTCAACACTTGATACACAGGAACATGAAAATAATTTTGCACCTAAGCTGATGATGAAATCTTCAACACTAAAACTGCTGGGAGTCAGATGTGCAGGCAAAACATAAATGTGAGTCAGACAGGCTCCCAGCATTCTAGGAATTCCTAGTCTGGAATGACAGACAGACATTGGGGTTTAAGATACAGGTCTCAGAGATCAAGGTCTCCCACTTTGCTGTCTGATCACCATCTGCCAGCAGCCCCAGTGTAGCCCTGCCCTTCCAGCTGTGGCACAGTGATTTTGGAGATAGTCCTTGGAATCAGATAGGCTTGGCTGTGAGTGCTCATGTCACCGCTTACTGGCTACTTATTCCTTGTGCATGCTCCCTGACTAACCTATAAATTAAACATGTATCTGTTCTGCACGGTGTTAAAGAGTGCATGCACTGTGTCTAGCCTGGCACCTGCTTCTTATCCAAGGTGTAATAACTAGAGATGCTGCTTACAAATAGCGAAGGGCAGAAATGCTAGAGCCATCCCAAACACTCATCCCAGCTCACTTAACACTTCCTACAATCTGTCTAATTCACAGTTCCCTTAATTCTAAAGGGGATGATGACATAAGACTCCTCTTTCAGGATTGTCATGGGGATTAGGTGAGATTATATGTGTAAGGAAATTAGCATAGCCCTTGACACATGTGTAGAAAGCATTAAATGAGTGGGGCCTGTTAACCACCCACAAATATGCAGAGCAAGGTGAAACTTGCTTTGTGTATCTGTAACTAAGTCTCTAGATGGCCCATGCCAGGACCTGGGAGGAATTATCACGGATTACAAGGAGTATGGAATTGCACTGAGAAACGCAAGCTGTGTGTGGCAGTCTGCATGCTTGCAGGTGCCATAGTGGAGCTAAGGTTACTGGAGCCCTGTGAGGCTGTCCCTCATACCATCCAGGAGCTGCCTTAGAAGATGAGTGTGCTGCTTCTTGGGCTTCTGCCTCCTCATGTGAGCAGACTGGTGCAATAGAACCCTAAAAATGATGAGGCATAGGACAAGAGGAGCTAGCAAAGACATTGGGCATTCTGAAGGACCAGGCACCACAGGAAAGCTCAGAGGGCCTGGCAGCAAGGATACCTTCCACATCATTTCAACAATGTGATTTCTTGGAGTACTGGGGACTTAGATAGGAAGTAGTGGGGCTGTGATGGAGCAGAAGTCACCAGCTAGGAGGAGGCTGGTTGGTTGTCACCTCACCATTCAACTGTATATCTGGGAATTGCCTCCGTGATAATGAGAAGAAGGAGGTGGAGGACAACTCACATTGTCTTTTGAGGTAAAGTAAAGCTGGGTTCATTTTTGGCTTACTTGATTTTTACACCTGTTAAGGAAGAGTAACTTAGAAAAGAAACAAGCCATGAGAACCATGAAAATGCCACATAAAAAGAAAAAGAATTTAGGAGACTCCAAGGAAGAACATATCTCTGAAGATGATCTACCACAAAGTCTAGACAAAAAGTAAATTTGACAGCCTCAATCTGGTGTAAGAAAATATGACCATGGCTGGACTTGATGGCACACTACCTATAATACCAGCACTTGGGAGACTGAGGCAGGAAGATCATGAGTTCAAAGCCAACCTGTCTTAGAAAAATGTGAACCTCTCTTTGTTCACTTGGGCTTGCCTTAACAAAATACCACAGACTTGGTGACTTAACAAAAATTTAATTTTCACAGTTCTGGAGGCTGGAAGTCCAAAATTAGGGTGCCATTGTGCTCAGGTTCTGATGAAGTCTCTTCCTGACTTGCAGATGACCTCCTCCATCTGTGTCCTCACATGGCAGGAAGAGAGAGGTCGGTCAACACTGAGATCTGGTCTCTTCTTCTAAGAACACTATACACTATTCCTATCATGTGGTCTCCACCCTCATTACTTCATTGAACCCTAATTTCCCAAAGGCCCTACCTGAAGGACCATCACACTGGAAGCTAGAGCTTCAGCATGTGAGTATGAGAGGGCCACAGTTTAGTCCATTGAATGACCCTGTGCAAAGGGCTGAAGTATAGTAAAAAAGCAATAGAATAGGATAAAAAGGCAAAGGAAATGAGAAAGGATTGCAGGGAACAAAGTATAAAAACAATTAAAATCTGTATTCTAGATTTTAAACAACAGAATCAGTCTGCGGAAGGGTAATTAGTGTTGTGAAGGATAATGAAGATCATAAGAAACACATGAAAAATATAGGCAGCAGGGAACCAGTCCCAATAATTGGTATACTACCAGTGGGATAGACAGAGTACTCAAAGATCTAGTAGAAGAAAAGGTACTCAGGTAAAGGAAGACCTATATATGCAAATTTAAAGGTCTCATCATAGGTCATTCAACATAAGGAGAGTGCTCCCTAAAAATGTTACTGACTTTTTAAAACTGTAGACCAAAGGAAAACATTAGGCATCCAGACATTAAAAAATAAATAAAACAAGTCACCTACACATGAATTTAGTGTGGACTAGCTATACTTCTCTACACTAAATGACAATGGACATATTTTGAAGAGAAAAGGTTTCCATCTAAGAGTTTTATATTGTACACAGAAGAAGCAAGGCCTCAAACACAGTTTCTCCTGTGTATCCATCTGCAAGAAAATGCTTTTGAAATAGACTCCAGTGAACTGAGTGGAAGAGCACATGTAAGACTGAATGAGGAATCCATAGTGTAAGAGGGCTTAAGAACTTTAAAATCAGGTAAACACAAAAAAACCCTCCAAAGTAAGTTTAAACTGTTGCGAATCTGATTATAAAGTTGAGTGCATAAGATAAAGGATGAAAAAAAAATTTCTTAAAAAACAAGAAGGAGGAAGTAATGAGGAATACCATAAGGTGGAGTAAGTGGGTCTTGCTCATGGGGTGCAGTCCCAGACCAGCTTATGAGACATGGGAATTCTCAGGCCCAGCCTGGACCCATGGCCTCTGCATCACTGGGGTGACACCCAGTGATTGTGACTTTGTTGAGAAACTTTCTAGGTGATTGTTACCTGTGTTAAAGTTTGAGAAGCACAGGATTAAACTACTCCTCTCAGTGGTGGCAAGCTTAAAAGTAAGAGTTTCCACTCAGCTATTGACAATTAGAGAAATATACCCTATACTGCTGTCTAAAATAGTAGGAATATTTAAAATAATGGAATATTGGACATCACGGAAAAGTGAAGAGTTCATATATCAAATAATGGAAAACTGTGGGAACCAAATCAGAAAGTGTGAAGTGTAAGGAAAAAAAGAGAATGTTAAAGCAAGAATGGGTTGGATGTCCCATAAATCAAATGCTTGGGACCAGATGTGTTTCAAATTTTGGATATTTTCCAGATTTTGGAATATTTGCATAGCTGTAATGAGATATTTTAGGGTAGGACCCAATTCTAAACACAAAATTTATTTATGCTTCATATGCACATTCTGCATTTAGCCTGTTGGTAATTTATACAATTTTAATAATTTTGTGCATGAAACAAAGGTTCGTGGTATGGAATTTTCTACTTTGGAATGTCAGTGCTCAAAAAAGTTCAGACTTTTGGAGGATTTCAGATATTTGTATTAGGAATACTTAGTTTGTAAAACCAAATATATTATAGCAATGAAAGCAAATGACATAATCTCCATTGTTAGAAGATAACAATTGCCAGGTTAATTTAAAGCAATATTTAATGTAATTGAGGCCTCCCCTGTTCATTCTTTATCCTTTACTCTGAGCTTTAGCCTCTCTTTCTCTGGAACTCTTCCTTCCTTAAAGTGATGTAAGTCCCTGTCGTGTGTTTCACAGTGCTGTCTGTGTTTCCTAGAAAGCACCTATTACATTGCAGTTTTAAATGTCTATGTTGGTTATTTGATTTTTCTGTCTCCTTTTCTTTGAAGACAGGAACCATGGCAGTTTATGCTCAGCATTTTGTGCTGGAACTTGGTACCTTGATGAATGAAGGTACAAGAAAATGTAGGGATGCATCTTTAGGCACATACAAACAAACAGAAAGCAGAATCTGACAAATTACTAAAAAGTTAATAACAGGAATGCCAGATGAACAATGCAACAGTTTAATTAAGAGTAGAGTACTGGTTCTGAAACTTTCCCATGCAGCAAAATGTTCTTGTTCAAATACAGATTGTTTGGCCCCACCCCTAGAGTTTTTCTTTCAGTGGGTCTTTGGCAAGACTGGAGGTAACTGCATTTCTAACCAGTTTCTAGAGTACCACGGTTACTAGTCCAGGGACCACACTTTGAGAAGCACTGTGGTAGAAAATGGTCTCATGTTAATAAAGGATACAATTCACAGTACATATTTTGATCCCAGAGCCTCTATGCATCAAACAACACCCTACCTAAATATACAGTATAAATTTAGAAACACAAGGAAATGAAAGGACTTACTTCAGCATTTAGTGTTTGCAAGAGCAAGTGAACAAACAAGATTATATAGGATTTGAATAATATAATTAATACAGTTGATGTAACAACTTTGAAGCCTATGAATAGATTACATACAGACCTTTTCCTGTGTTTGTGAGTCACTACAAAATTTATTTAACTACCAAGAATTCTACAGCTTCTGTATAGGTAAAGTCATAAACAGACTTAAGAAGCCAATTAAAAAAAATGCTTGTAATATATGTAACAAAATGTTGATGTCCTTAATCTGCAAAGAATTTAGTGATTTTTTTAAAGGAAAGTCACAAAAGAAAAACCATAGTTAATTAAACAAGAAAAATAATCAGTTTCCTTAGAAATCAAAGAAATGGGAACTAAAACCAGCAGTACAATATAGTCCCTGCTCCCATCAGGCCTGCAAAATAGAGGGACATGTGAATGCTTATTGCTGCCTCAGTGTGTGGAAACAGTCGTTTTTCACACCTTTGTGACTGGGATCATGGTGTGGTGGGTATCAGAAGCCTCCAAAATAAATCCCTTTTCCCACCTCTGGGAATTTGTCCTTAGGAAATAATGTGTAGAGATTCTGTGCTGCAGTCTTTATTTTGCCATCATGTGCAAAACTAATGAGTGAACATGCAAAAAATTTCTACCAGGATGTGGATCACAGCACTTTTTAATATAGCAAAAAAATCTGAAGCAATCTGAATGTCTCTTGGTGGCAGGGGACTGGCTCAGCGAATTCCACAGTCCCATGGGACCCATGCAGCCAATAAAGGCAGTAGAGATCGATACTTATTGATTGGGCAAGATGTCCACAAAGTATTGTCGATTGAATACACCAGGTTACAAAGAGGATATTGATCAGGCCTGGCTAATTCAAGGCCGCAGGAGCCAGGCAAATGACAGCAGCCAGGGAAGCGCACCCCAGATGGGGTTGGAATGAAGGGGAGGCCTGGGCAACTGGCTGGCCAGGAGCACGCTCTGCCCCAAGGGGGAAGGGGCTCTTCTTTGTGTGGGGATTACAGACAATTGAAATTTCTTTCTTTTAAAAATTTTTGTTCTTGTATTTATCAGTATTTTATAATTTTCCCCCAGCGAACAATATTACATCAGACATTTTTAAGAAGAAAGAAGTTAGGCAGAGCCAAAAGAGAGGTAAAGATAAAGTCTAAGTGTCTGAGAGGAAGAAGTGATCCCTGCTGCCTGTGGGTGGGTGGTGCTTGGGGACAGGGAAGGCCCCAGAAATAGGGGCCTGGGGTGAGGTCACTGTTACAGGCTGATGGAGAGGTTGACATTGGAGATCAGAAGGGGCACAGCACATTTCCTGAGCACCAGGGCTGGGGGCAGAGTGGTGGAGAACAGCATGTGCCAGGTACTGTTCTAAGACTTGACAGACAAATTTAATCCTCACAGCAATCCTATATGGTGGTCCTTGTATTACCTCCATTTACAGATAGAAGAACTGAAGCACAGAGAGGTTAAGACACTTGCCCAAGGTTACACTGCTCAAGGTGGCTGAGCTGGGACTTGAACCAAGGCAGTCTGACTCCAGAGTCAGAGTTGATTCTAGCTGGTGGTCCCATATGGGGAGGAGTTTGTTTGAGGGGGTGAGAGATGCTACTGCTTCTGGGTGGGAGCCAGGTGTCCATTTCACACCTTTCTCTCCTTGGACAGAAACTGGCAATTATACCTGTGAATTCTGCGGGAAGCAGTACAAGTACTACACGCCCTACCAGGAGCATGTGGCCTTACACGCACCCATCAGTGAGTACCTTTTCCAGCGGAGAGATGGGGCGGAGATGGGAGAGCCTGCAAGGCATGGGTAAGAGCTAGGTGAGCTTGGGTATAGACCATCCAGCTGTCTTGAGTCTGACCTGGACCACCCAACTGCAACTCTGGAACAACCTGGAAGGTCACTCCAAACCCAGCCTGATCTGAGGCCTGGTGTTTGCGTAGATTGGGTATCAAGTATAGGCGCCACTTGTGAAGTCCTGAAATGGTCCTGGCCCTACCTCCTCTAAACACCTCGAAACCACGGGCTTCCTGAGTGCCCATCCACCTGCAGAGCCAGCAGCTTATGAGGAACTCATGGTGGGGGGAAGCTAAGGAGGCAGAAGGAGCACAGAGCTAGGAGTCAGGAACCCTAGGAATTAAACACATAGGGCTCCTTAATCCTAGCTATTCCAGTGAGTGGATAGTGATAGCATTGTGACTTTAATTTATATTTCCTTCATGACTAAGGATGTTGAACATCTTTGTGCTTGCTTATTATCCATTTTTGTATTTTATTTTGGAAATGGTCTGTTCAAGCCATTTGCTGGTGGGGGGGTTGGGTTGTTTGTCTTTTTATGAGTTGTAGGAGTTCTTTATACACTCTAAGAGGTCCCAGTCCTTCCTAAGATCTATGAGTTGTAGATATTCTCTCCCCGTCTCTGTATGCCTGTTAATTTTCATATAGTATGCCCTGATAATTTTCATTTGATGTAATACAGTTTATCTTTTTATTTGTTTTGGTGGAACCAGAATTTGAACTCTGGGCTTCATGCGTGTGAGGCAGGTGCTCTATGGCTTGAGCCATGCCTCCAGCCCGTTTTACTCTGGTCATTTTGGGAGATAAGTTCCCACCCTGGGCCTCGGTCCTCTTACTTTAGGTTTCCTGTGATCCTCCTATGTTAGGCTTCGTGCTGCCACAGGTGGGATGGCAGGTGCATGCCACAGCTTCTTTCCATTAAGATGGGGTCTCAGAAACCTTTTTTGCCTGGTCCTGCCTCAAAGCATGATCCTTCCAATCTCAGCCTCCCAAGTAGCTAATTGCAGATGTGAGCCAGTGGTGCCAGTTGATCACTTTTTTCTACAGTTAGTGCTTTCTGGATCTTATTTCCAGAATATCCTTGCTTACCTCATAATGGTGAAGACCTCCTCCTTTATTATCTTTTAGAAGTTTTTCAGATATTTTTAACTTTTGCATTTAGGTCTGCTATCCAATTTGAGTTAACTGTTATGAATGACAAGAGGTATGAGTTGAAGTTTATTCCATATAAATGCCTGCTTGTTCCAATACCTTGCTGAAAAGATTATCTTTCTGTTGCAATACATTAGTACCTTTGTTGAAAATCACTTGAACATGTAAGTGTGTTTTTCTTTTCCATTCATCTCTTTGTCTATCTTTATACTATTTTCATGTGATCTTATTTACTGGAGTTTTATTCTGAGTCTTAAAATAGATATTTTTCAACTTTATTCTTCTTTTCTAAAGAATATTTGTCTCTTTTAGGAACTTTTTCCACATATATATTAGAGTAATCTTGCCAACTTCTACCCAAAAAAAAAAAGGGAAGAAAGAAACAAACCATCTGGGATTTTACTTGAATCTGTAGACCAATTTAGAGAATAGGCATTCTAGTTATTTTGAGTCTTCCAACCCATGAACATGGTATATCTCTCCAAATATTTAGGACTGCTTTAGTTACCCTCAGCAATAGTGTTTACTTTTCCTTATGGAGGTCTTATGCATATTTCATTAAACAATTTGTATGTTTTTGATGCTATCGAGATCTTTAAACAATTTTCCAATTGTTGCTGTTACATAAAGAACTGATATTTGTATATGAAACTTGTGCTTTTCATTATTTCCTAGGTTTCTTAGGCTATATGAAGATGTCATCTGCGAGTAGCAGCAGCTTTACTTCTTTCTGATCTATGTTCTTTTTACTGCTTCCCCCACCCTACCATTCTGTTTAGGACCCTTTAGTGCGAGGATGAATAGGAGAAATGAGCAGATTTCTCTGCCTTGTTCCAATCCTAGGGCTCAGTCTCTCCCCATTAAGTGTCATCATTTTCATCATGAAGCATTGTGTTAGCTGAAGTCAGTTTTCATAGATGTCCCTAATTGTTGAGGTCACCTTCTACTCACAGTCTACTGGGGATTTTTATTGTAAATTAGTGTGTGTGGCTTTTCCCTTACCTCTGTTGAGGTGATTGTGTGCATTCTTATCTTTTTAGTGTGGTGAATGGCACTTTAAAAATAATTAAATCACCATGCCTAAGCTTTACTAAAATACATTAAGAATATTAGAAAGTCAAACTTGAACTGAAGAAAGTTACAACATTGGATGGTTAGTCTTAGGCAAAAGAATGACCCTTTCTTTAAAACTTCTTAATATTTAATAGTATATATCTAAGGTCTACTATTTGATGATTCTATACATGTATATGTGTGAAATATTCACAACAGTAAAGTTCTTGCATAGGCATCCAAATTCCTTGAAGAGGCAGGGCAGTTTGTACAATTAATTTGCTTTCAAAAGCATGTCTTCTGCTTGCTTCTATCTAAAATTTCCCAGAAGTTTCCCTGATTTTTAATATCACTCCCAAAAACTATTCCAGAGGCAGAGAACTATAATAAATGAATACTTGAATCAGTGGTGTGTTAATGGGTGTCAGAATCCAAGTAGTAAATATTTTTAGTGCAGCTTTTTTTTTTTAAAAAAAAACCCACCATTGTTGAGGTCTATCATCATACATTAAAGTGCTGATTATTTCAAGTGTAACCCGAGTGACCCCCAAATTAAGATCCTGAGCACATATCCATCACCCCCATAGGTTCCTGTGTCCTTCTGCAATCCCTCCCTCACTGTGTCCCCATCCCCAGCAAACCCGGGTCTACTTTATATTAGTGCAGATTAGTTTGCATTCCCTAGAGCCTCACAGAAATAGAATCTTACAGTATGTACATTTTCACTGGGGGTCAGTCTGGCTTTCACTCAGCATAGTTGTTTTGGCATTCATTCATGTTTGTGTATATCAATAGTTCATTCCTTTTAATTAATGAATACAGTCATGCATCACTTAACAGGTCTCATTCTGAGAAATGCGTTATTAGGCTGTTTTGCTATGCACACACCAGAGAGTATATACAAACTAAGACTTCTACAGCATCATTAGGCAATAGAACCTCAGGGATCACACCATATATGTAATCTATCATTGGCCAAACGTTGTTTAAAACATGTGGCAAGTAACATTCCACTGTCTAGATATACATCCCGTAATCCTTTACATGCTCACTTATGAGCAGACACTCAGATTGTTCCCAGTTTGGAACTAATGCACATAGACGTGCAGTGAATATTTGGGTTACAGGTCCTGTGTGACATGGAAGAGCTGGATTATATGGTAGGTGTATTTTAGCTTTTAAGGATAGCCAAATTTTCCAAAATGGTTCTGCCATTTTAAATTCCTTCTAGTAATATACTTGTCTTATAATGTCCTTGTCTTCATTGGGGCTGTTTCAGAGAGTGAGTTAGGTAGAGAATTCCCTCTTCAATTTTCTGAAGAGTTCATGTAAAATTGGCACTATTTTCCATAACTGTTCTGTAGAAATTAAACAGAGACGTCATCAAGCTGAGAATTTTCTTCATAGGAAGGAATTATTTACAAGATGTATTTGATTTCCAAATACTTGGAAGTTATTCATATTTTTTATTGATTTCTAATTTAATTCCATTGTAATCAGAGTATATATTCTGTGGGATTTCCAGTCTTTGAAATTGAGATGTTTTATGACCTGCCATGTGTATGGTCTCTCACTGCACATTGCATGTTCACTTGATCAAAATATATACATGTATTTACAATATTGTTAAAAATATTATATAATATGCATATATATGACATATGCTGATACATTGTATATGAGTATATTATGATGTATCCTGTGTTGTCTGCCAGGTTAAGATGGTTCATATTGTTCATATCTCTGTACTGTTTCTTAACTTTAAAAAAGTTGGTTTGTCTTATATCAGGTACTGAGAGAGAGAGGTGTGAAAATCTTCAACCATAATTGTGGATTTGTCTATTTACCTATTTAAGACCTGTCAGTTTTTGATTCACCTTATTATGTCTTGATGAATTGACCCTTTTTATTTTTTTGTTTGTTTATTTTTCGCTATACTGGGGTTTGAACTCAGGGCCTCACAGTTGCCAGGGAAACACTCTTACTTGAGCCATGCCTCTTTCCTTGAATTGACTCTTTTTAAAATAGTGCAGTGCCCATCTTTATCTGTTAAGGATTGCTTTATAGCCATTACATCTTTCTTGGGATTAGTGTTGCATCCTTGTTTTAGTCTATTTTTATCTTCATATTTGAAGCGTGTACATATATTTGGTTCTTGCTCCTTTATCTTCTCTGGCAGTCTTTGCCTTTTAAGTGAAGTGTTTAACCCATTTGCATTTAATATAATGTATTGGGTATGGTTGTATTTAAGTTTACTGTCTTTTAGTTCCTCTGTTTGTCCCATTTGTTCTTATTGTTCATTTTCCTTTTTTCTTGTTTTTGTAATGAATCAAGTATTTTTTAGTTTCCTCTTTTAACTTTAACTCTTTCACTCTAGTTTATATATACATCTTTGATGTATTATAGTGTGCTATGAATTTATAGCATAACATATCACATCTAATATAATGTTCTATAAATGTAACAAGAACCTTATAACAGTATACTTCCCATTGCTACTCTTCCATTCTTTGTGCTGTTCTTTTCATAGTGTTACTCTTTTAGCTTTGAACAGTCAATTGTTTGTTATTTAACTGAGAAAGGAGAAAGCACTTGCTATTTACCCACATGTTCCATTTTCTTTCTGTAAATCTGAATTCCATCTTTTGTCATTTTCTTTTATTCCTGAAGAATTTCCTTTAACACTTTGTACATTGTACATCTGTTGGTGAAAGATTCCCTCAACTGAAGACATCCTCATTTTACCTTCTCTTTTGAAGGAAATTTTCCCTGGAAATGGAATTCTAGATTGAGAAAGTTCTTATCCAGCATTTGAAAACTTCCGTATTCAATGTATCCTTTTTCTATGGCTTCTTTTAACTATTTCTCTATAATACTGAGTTTAACTATTTGACCATGGTGTGTTACCTATTTGAGGTTCATTGATAAGTAAGGTTCTGTTTTTCATTAGCTGTGGAAAAATTTTGGCCAGTATTTCTTCAAATATTTTTCTTCCCTAATTTCCCTTTCCTCTCTTATTAAGACTGTAATTGCAAATATGTTAGACATTTAATGATGTTTACAGATGAACTGAAGCTTTATTCATTTTCAGCCCCATTTTCCCTCTATGCTTCAGTCTGGATATATTCTATTCTTCCACCTTCAAGCTCACTGATCTTTTCTTCTGCAGCATCTAATCCCTGTAAATTCTGTTTAGTTCCTTTTTTTTTTTAACAGCTTTCAGTTTTCTCTGCATTATGTTCATGTTCTCCTTTAAGTCTTTGAGCATATTTATAATGGTTGCTATAAAGCCCTGGTCTCATAATTTTTCATACCTGTTATTTCTCTGTTTTTGTTGGCTGGTTTTTCTTTTATTAATCACATTTTCGTGCTTCACCTGAAAGATGATGGCTATTTCGTGCAAATATTGTGCACACATTGTGGTTGCCGTATGGTTGGCCAGCTGGATTTTATTTTCTCCCTTTAACAAGTGTTGCCTGTGTTCTGATTGGCAGTACATTTACTTACAGATCAACTTGCTCCTGGAAGGGCTTGTTTATAAGCTGTCCTAGGCCAGGTCTGGAATAGTTCTTATTCCAGGGTTACAGTAGTTCTAAAGCATTGCCTGTCTAGGTCTCAACCGAGTGTATGCCTTGTTCAGCAGTCCTTCTCCTCTTAGGCTTGTGGGAACTCAAACATCTTCTAGTCTTGTGCAACCTCTGAGTCTTCGTTGAAATCACACACTCTCCCTCAGCTGTTTCCTCCTCATCTTGGCAGAGACTCAACTCTGTGCAAGTGAAATTTAGTATTTAGCTAATGACTTCAAGGAGGCCCCTCTGCACATTTCTGGAATTCTTTCTTTGCTCAGTTCTCTTCTCTTTGTTATTCTGCCCTGCAAATTCCAGCCACCTCAGAAGCCTGACCTCTGATCGCTGTGTCTTTGGTTCAGTGCCATGGCATGCTTCCACCTGGACTCACCTCTCTGTGCTGTGGTGAGTAGGTCTCCAGGCAGCGAGCTGGAGTGACTGTGGGACTCACTCATCACGGTCCTGCTGTGCCTATTGATCAAGGTTTGAAACTGTTGTTTCTTGTCCCAGCTTTACAGTTGAATATGGCAGAAGGGCCAGTCCTGTACCAATAGCTCCATCATGGCCAGAAATACATAGTCTCCAATTCTCTTTCCAAGATGAAAATCCAAAGAAAGGTTTTCCAAGTTGACTTCCCTTGCATCGCGCCTGCTGTTCATTCTCACCTCCAGCCTTTCAGCACATCATCCTATTGGCTTCAAATTCTCCCTCCTCTCTACCCTCCCAGTTGTATGATTTCTTTTCTCAAATCTTTATAGTCCCTGAAAATTTTTTTGCCCAGTTTATTTTTAGCTTTCCAGAAAGGAAAGATGTGGTGCTCTGTTAGTTTTTAGATATTTTTTGTGTAACAGGCTCATGTGTGTTTTTTACAAGAAAAGTCAGCCAGTCTGAGATCTTTCTTTCTTAGTATGAGCTCAGGTAGAAATTCCAGCATTACAGTATTGCATGTGAGGTTAGTAGATGGAGGAAACTGTTGTGTTTGAAAACTGGGAAATTCTTACTGGCTCGACTATAACCCACTGAATGACCCTGAAGTGTACCCAGAGTTTTCTGAGCCTCAATGATCCAATGTGCCTTATACTCTTGGAGTCACTGTCTGTTATATAGCTTCACAGCACAATTTTGGCCTCTTACTGGGCATCCCATCCTGTCTTTGATGCACTGTTTGTTAGCATTCTGACTTGTACTTTGCTGGCCATTGTTACATTGGTTCACAGGTTGTGCACTTTCTGTGTCTCAGGGAATGAGCCAGGTAACTCAGTGCACGGGACTGCCAAACTAAAAGGTCCCTATCTTCAGGGAGCATACGAGCCAATGGAGGAAGACATGGATCAAAGGTCACACCATGTTTCTTATGGGGGTGGTCAGTTCTTGGAAGAAGCAGGGGGACAGATGACCAGGTGGGGAGTATCAGAGAATTCCTAAGGAAGTGCTATTTATGTGTAGTAGGGCCAGCTGTGAGGAATTTACAGGATGTTCCAGGTGGGAGAATAGCTCATGCAAAGGTTATGAGCTTGAAAGAGAATGGGTATTGGTGGAGGTGAGTGGCCTGGGAAGAAGCTGGGGAAATGAGCACATCCTAGGCAGGGGGGCTGGAGCAAACAGGTGATGCCTTGGGTTTATTACATCAAGTGCTTCATGGGTGTCTCCGAGGTTCCTGCTGCAGTGAAAGAGGGGGGGACTCTCTCCCAGGGAATGCCAGGATTTTTACAGCATGAGTCAACTATGAATTAATCCAGAGAGCACACTAGAAATTATTCTGCAGCCTCACAGAAAAGCAGCTTGCCAGGCTTTTGCTCTGGGGCTGTCTTTATGCCCAGGTCCCCAGGATGTGTGGATTGGTGTCCCGGATTGGAGTGTGTGCAGGGAGCATATGACCTACTACAAAGGCCTCTCTAGGAAGCTGGCAGACTTGAGCCTCTGTCCCATCCCAGCACTCACTTCCTGTGTGGCCATAAGAAACATATTAGCCCATCTGGGCCTTTGTTTCCCTATTTCTAAGCAAGCTCTATTGTAGCTGCTCCCATGTATGGAGCTATTACCGTTTGGGTGCCTCTGTGGCTTTCTGGAGTCACAAACCTGTGGAGCTGCCCACTAAGCAAGGGCCATCCCATCTTATTGGGGAGGTAAGGCAGAGGGAATTGGGACCTAATTGGGAAGCAGAGTCCAGGACCACAGAGACTGAAGCCTTAGAGCTGGGCTTCCAAGGTGTGTTGGCCTCCATCCTCCATGTAGGTTCTATTACAGTGAGCCTCCAGCCATGGTCCCTAAACTGTTCCTCATGCAGGGAGACAGTGGAGAAATCGGAGATGGAGTCTGGGTACCAGCACAACATTGAATGTGTAGGTTTAAGGGAGCCATTAAACAAACGATACTTCTTGTTGAACTCAGAGGAGAGGGGCAGAAGGAATGTACAAAGTGCCTGTTGCCACCCAGGCCTCTATTCCTGAGCCAGAAAGTGAGAATGCAGAGGGTGAGAGCTTGAGATGGTGAGGAACCACCCCATGTCTGCTGCCACAGACTGAGGCCTTGGAGGTCTCCTTTTTTCACCGGGTGGGACTTGTGAAGGGAGTCAGGACTGAAGAACTCTCTCTTCCTGGTATCTGCTGCTCTGTAGGGGCAGTGTGCTCCCAGTTCCACTCAGAGCCTAAGAGTATTGACCAAAGTGCCTTGATGGCGTCCTGTTTCTGGGTCACTTCCTATGTGACTTAGGCAAGGCTCTGTGTCCTGCTTCCTTGGGCCTCGTTTTTGCCATCTGGGCTGGGAATGGGCAAAGGTGGAAGGTTCAGGGGCTTTTCAACTTGTTTTCCACACAGTGGGTGGAGCCTCTGACCAAGGATGGATGCCATCTGCAGGCATTGTATAATGAGGCCCCACTGCCACTGCAGAGCCAGGTCCACTGGGCAGCTCAGTGCTTGACCAGATCCTGGATATGGGTGGTACCTTCAGGAGGTTGTCAGTCCTGGGGGTCCTAGGTTCCTCTGGTAAGCACTAATAGTCACTTCCCTTCACTGCCTGGTCTCTCCTGCTCTCGGGGGAGAAAGGTATAGGTCTTTTAGGACCTCTGGGTGAGCAGACCCCTGGGAGTGGGCCAGGTTCAGGGGCTTGCACTCCTACCTGCCCATGACCACCAGAGGTGGAAACTGCCTAAGAGGTAGCTGCAGTTCTCAGGTGAGCAGCTTCTGTGGAGAGTCTGGGTAAGAAAGGCAGGGACACACACTTCCCCATGCCTCATTGGGACAGCTACACTTCGGTTACCACCTCAGGCACTGGAATAACGTTCTTCTCTGAAAGCTGCAATTCCCAGCCAGTGCCAATGGGGTGCTATAGAGCCGCTTCCCTAAAACCAAGTGTGCCACGTCAGGCCCTTGTCCCTTCACTGCTCGGCCAAGTTAGCCCCAGCACGTCCCTGCGTGTCTGCTTTCTGTCATTACTTCTAAGCAAATTTCTTTGGAGGAAAAGGGGTTAAAAACCCAGCGTTCTAGAAAATGTGCTTGACCTGACTGGCTAATTGGGGTACTTTAAGTGTGGGTTGTACCTTGAGACTGGGCTGGTTAAGGGTGATGGATGACCTATGGGGTGGGCTGGGATTGGCCTTCAGATAACTGAGCATGAGCTGGTGGTCAGACTTCCCTCAAGGAAAAGCTGGGGAAGGTTCTAGACTTCCAGACTTTCTGGGCCTCCAAGTAGGAGCTGGAGCCCTTGCTATCTGTGGGATGAGAACAGCTTGGGCAGAAATGACCCAACTCTGGCACATGGGGACCTGTGGCCTGAGAAACCACTCACTTGGCCAGCTTCAAGGGCCCTCAGGGACTGAGAGCGTGACCCTCTCAGGTACCGCCCCTGGGTGGGAGCCGCCAGACGATCCCGACACGGGTTCTGAGTGTTCACATCCAGAGGTCACCCCGTCTCCACGCTTCGTGGCAGCGAAGACCCAGACGAACCAGTCGGGGAAAAAAGCTCCGGCCTCCGTGGTCCGCTGCACCACCCTCTTACACCGCACCCCTCCAGCCACCCAAACCCAGACGTTCCGCACGCCAAACTCGGGATCTCCAGCAAGCAAGGCAACCGCAGGTACCAGTGCCTACATTACCCACACTTCCTCTGCTCCCCACCCCTCTCCACCTGTCACAGCTGGGCCTGGGGCCTTTGTTCCCCTGCACGAACAAGAGTGGAGGTTCAGCATGCTGTGGGGCAGATCTCAGGCCTTAGCTCCCTCTGGCCAGCTCATGACCAAGGCCAGCCACCTAACCGCAGTGAGCGGGACTCTTGCACCCCAGATCACAGGGTTGTACAACAAGGTTTGCAAAGTTTGTTTCAAAAAAAAGGAATAGAATTCTTTTTCCCAAATCATGGCCTAAGGAACCTGTTTTATTTTATTTTAAAAAGTTTAAAAACTTTTAAAATTAATTTCCAGCATTTGAACATTAGGAGATTTCATGTAAAACTTGTATATCCAGCTGATGTTGAAACATGGTTGGTTCTAACTCCTGGGCCCGTGTTCCTGCAGGGCAACAATTGGCACCTCCTTTCACAGGGCACTGCTTCCCAGTTCTCCAGTTCTCATCACCTGTTGCTGCCTCCCGCCTCAGTGGCCCTGTGGCACGTGTCAGTTCTCATTGTGATCACATTGTTGTCCATGTACATCCAGCACTGTTCATCCATTTATGTCACCTGCCTGGACCCTGTTGGCATGCATTTGCATCTTCCATCTTTCAGAAAACTCAGTCTAAAGCTAATTTCAGCACACGACTACTCTCCATGAAGCAGAGTGGGAGGAGCTAGAGCCAGCAAGAAACTAGAGGCTGCTAGCACCAGCTTTTCCCGGGTCCATGCAGAAAAGAGCTCTGGCTCCAGAAGGGCAAACAGGCAGTAAAGTCCCCAGTGGTCATTTGCTCTAGGAAAACTGAGAAGACATGCTGTGTGCTGAGCACCAGCTGCCAGGAATCCTTGGATTCATACATGCATGGAACCAGCCTTGAGCCACCTGCCTGGATGTGTGGGTTGCAGGATGGAGTGATGACACAATACTTCTGGGGCTGTGGGTCTTTTGGTCCTCTCGGGAGGCCAAACTGTCCACTGAATATGCAGGTGGTCATGTTGAGAGCTCAGGTGAATGAGGCACTGGGTTTGTTTGGTGACTGATGCCCTGGCCAGATAACTAGCTATGCTTGCCTCCCTATGGTCCAGGAGGCTAATTTAGGACCAGACTGTGGTTCTGATGTTTATGTTGCTTCTGTTTCCCAAAAGGAGGAGAATCAGTCAACCTTGAAGGCACTGGGTTTTCAGGTACCATGTTGCAACAGTTGTAATTTTGCAACAATAACAAACTTGCAGCAGACTAGTCATGGTCTTGGTGGTAGTAGACATTGACTCATCTAAATAGTGGAATCCTGGCTTTTCAATCTTGTTCTGACTCTTGAGCTTTGTGGCTGGGAGTTTTGATACTTGCAGCTTCTGTCTCTGGGGGCTGGTGTGGCACGTGGCAGTTGTTGAGTATCAGTGTCTCCAAGCAAGTATCCAGTGAACCATGGGGTGTGCCTTGGGCTCACTCTGTGGGACCTGGAAGGCTAACGGTGGGTCACACCTGAATTTACAGGTTGGGAACAGGAGCCGGTAGGGCTGGAGATGGTATGTGCAAGAGGTAGAGGCTATCACTGCCTGACCATACTGAAGTACATGGTTATCCGTGTACTTGCGCATGTGTGTGTGTGTGCATGCCCATGTGAGGACCTCACATACTGGTTTCAACCAGAGGCTCTTATGACAGGGACAGCTGTTCAAAATGGGCATTATCAGCTCAATGATAGGAGACTCACTGTAGGACTTGGTAAACCTAGGTTGTGCTAGAGTCTACCCAAATTTTGATCAGAACAAAAATCCTGCATGTGTGTCCTATTGTGAACACAAGGGCTAAGGAGAAGCAGGGAATCACTTCCCTTCCCTCCAAGCCCCTTAAGAAGAAAGTGTCTGCCCCCGGTGAAACCTCACACTGCTGCCTTCTACAGAGGGTTGGAGAGCCTGAAACCTCACTCATCCTCCACTCTTTCACCTGAAAATGGTGAAATGACAGTGTAGCCTCAGGACTGTTGGGAGGAGTAAAGGAGACTGTGCTGTGGAGGTCTGAACCAGTGCTTGGCACATAGTAGGTGCTCAGGAGTAAGAGTTCCTCCATTTCCTCCATTTTCCTTAAACAGAGAAGAACCGAAAGACACTGTCTTGAGGCCCTTGGCCCTGTGTCCTGCAGACAGCAGGCATCCTGGTGGTACATGTAATGTCAGCAGCAGCTTCTGCAAGAAGGAGCTGTTTAGGGGTGGGAGGGTGGAGGGTTGCTGAGCAGGCCTGTAGGGGGCGCCTCTGGCATCCTTCCCAGTCATCATCTCCATAACCATCCAGAGCCTCCCGTGGTCTGAGTACTTGCTCTTCTGGGGGAGAGTGGACTGTGCGACTGGTGTTTCCCAAAGTGGGTTCCCAGAATCACTGTTTAGGGGATATTACAGAATCTAATATTTAAAATGGGGTTCTAGAGGAACCCCATTGGGGGAAGTCTGGGTTAAATAAAATTAATTGGGTCTTTTTCCAGTCAAACTTTCTGAGCCTTCAATATCCCCATGCAAGTTGTTTCTCCTTAGTAAAGGGACTGGGTCGGCCACACATCCGAAAGTGGCTTGTTCCCAGTGCCTAGATGGAACCGTGGTGCCAAGAGCATCTTGGAAAAGCTAGGTTTTCTTCCAACTCAGATTTTCTGTTTTACTACCTCCTGCAGGTGGGGGGATTGAGCTGCATTTCTGGTTTTCTATTTGGCTGACTGGACCCTGTCTCTGCTACAGGGTTTCCAGAGAAAGCCTGAGAAGGTGAGCAGCTTGGGGAGTCAGTCCTGCCCCTTCTCCTAGGTGACCTCTGACCCACCTCACCTGTTCTTTGGCCTTCCTGGAGTGGGGGCTGCCCCAGGATTTCCTCCCTGTCACCCAGGGACATCCAGCTATGGTGCTGGAATCTGCTGCCTGAGCTTCCTCCAGAGCTGCTGCCAGAAAACAGACTGCTGTCCTCCCTGCTCCTTTGTGGGTCTGTGGCAGCAGAATCTGGCAGAGGAAGTGGCAGGTGGCAGATTCAAATGACTTGTAAAAGATGGAGAACCCAAGCCCATTTGCAGTCTGCTCACTGGTGGATTTCATCTTTGGCAGGCCACCCCCACCCCCACCCCTGCCCCGGTGCCTGAATCTCCAGGCACTGCCAGTAGGGTCTCTTGGGCTTGGCAAGGTACCAGGCCTGAGAAGACCGGGAGGTCTGCCTCAGGAACCTGGAACCCTGCACCATTGTGCTGCTTCTCTCAGCGGAGTCCCCAGCATCCACCCAGCCCCAGGACCTCCTTCTACACACCCCTCCCATGAGACCTTGCACTGACCACTCCCCATGGCTTTCTCTTTCTCTCTCCTGTCCTCCACCCAGCAGAAAGCGCTTTCAGTCGGAGAGTAGAAGGCAAAGCACAAAACCACTTCGAAGAGACCAATAGCAGTTCACAGAACTCCAGCGGTGAGTGCCCATGATAGCATCCTCGCCACAGCGTCCACTGCCATCCACAACAGCAGGTGCCCTTTGGGCCAGGGTCTTTTGGTACCAGCAGGTCTTGTTGGGAGGAGGCGGGGCAGGGAAATAGAGGGAGAGCAAGGCCTGGCAGAGCAGAGGTGCCTCTTCTTCTCCAGACACCCCTCTGTGTCTCCTTTTTGTCTCTTCCCCATGAAGATAGGAATTGCCCGTCTCAAAACCCATGGTGTTAACTCAGCCAGCCCAGATGGGTGGGCCTAAGAGAGCTATTGCTGTGTTTTTTTTTTAAATAAACATGACCAGTATCTTTCCAGGACAGGCAAAGGGGTGCTAGAGAGAGCTCTGGGAGCCAGAGGCCCCACTTTTTTCCCTGAGACCTTCTAGCAAAGATCCCCCCTGCAGCCCCTGCAGCTCCATCACTTTGCCTAAGGTTTCCCAGTTGTGTTTGGCACTCCCTGATGGCTGCCTCGTACAGGACCCTAGCAGAGCCTTGGAGCCTGCAGAACCTTCACTTTGGACACTCAGCCTGGCAAGGCTGGTCACATGCAGTCTCTGTCCAAAAAGTAACAGCAAGCCAGTCTGTACAATGACAGCCAGGGCAGGAGGGAACAGGCATTCTGCCATTGTGGTTGCCTTAGGGTGAGAGACTTACTCTCTTGCACACTTGAAGTTGAATTCACCAAATACTTGGTATCAGCCTGTGCCAGCACTGTGCTGGGTACTGCCTGATGTAGACAGGTGGTGGATGTGGCTCAGTCACTGGGGACTTGGTGAAATAGTTGGGAGCACAGACTTTAGGTAGAGGTTTCTGCGTATTAATGGCAGCTGCAGTTTCTGATGAACTTTGAACCCAGCTCCTCCGTTTACCAGCTGGTGGCTCTGACTAGTCTCTTAATTCCTTCTCCATTGTAAGTGGCTTCAGGAACCCACCCAGTCCCGGGTGGTTGTGAATGTTTTAGTGAATGCCCCACACAGATTATACACTGGTGTACTCGAGGCTTTTGGTGGTTGTTGTGGGTTGTTTTGTTTTTTATAAATCAAGTGGTGGGTATGAACTCCCTGGGGAAGAAGACAAGGTTTTAGATAACGTAATCCACACAGCCTCTTCCACGATGACCTCAGAGTGATGGAGTGACTTGCCCGAGGCCACACAAGAGTCAGTGGCAGAGTGGGACTGGAACTGAGGTTTCCTGGCATGCTTTGGGCTCCCAGCCAAGCCATGCTGTGCCATCTGTGTCTCTCCTGCCAATCACAGTTGGAAACAATGCTGTCATGTGCCACTGCCACTGGCAGCCACCATTTATTGAGCGCTTACTATGTGCCTGGCATGCGTTCAGAGCTTTATGTGTTTTATCTGTTTCATCCTTACCACAGCCTGTGGGGGTCAGTGTTACTGTTATCCCCACTTTTCAGATAAGGAAACTGAGGCTCAGGAGAGGTCAGTTGTAGCCCCAGGTCTCCCAGGACTCCCCCTACCTACTCCATCTGGCCAGCTTTGCTGCATCTGAGGCTTGCCAGCTGGTGCCTCTGCTATGCCTGGCAGTGAGGGAGGGGAGGAGGGTCCCAGCAAACAGCAACCCTGAAAAGCACAGCCCTCTCTGGGCTGCTCGACTGTTTGGTAACAAGCATTCCCATCACCATACCAGAACCCAGAAGCAGCTTCCAGCACACGGTTCACAAAAGTGGACAGCCACGTGTGGATGTACTCTCCTTAGGAATCCAGTGGCCTCACCCTCAGAGTTGAGGTCGTCTAGAGGAATGGCCCTGCCTGATCTTGCCCTGCCCAGTAGCCCCAGCACCCATGGGAAACATATCCTCTGAAGGGTGTGGCTCCATGCCAACCCCTCCCCAGCATTCCCCCAGATTGTGCACCTGTCTATTCTACTCCATTGAGAGCCCCGTCTGGCTTGCTGAATAAGAAAAAAATCATGAGCCAGGCCTGTTGGTGTACACCTGTAATTCTAGCACTTGGGAGGCTGAGACAGGAGGATTGCAAATTCAAGGGCAGCCTGGGCTACATAGTGAAAGCCTGTCTCAAAAAAAAAAAGGAAAGAAAAGAAAAAAAAGAAAAATGACAGTCACAGAACAGCAGAACTGAAAGAAACTTAGCTAAACTGTTTCTCTTTTGCAGAAACTGCAAGTCCCCTGATTTCCAATCCTTTCCCTCTCCTGCAGAGTAAGTGACGATTCTGTCGGGGGGCTGTCAAGGCAAGGCAGGGAATGCACTTAGCTGGCCTCTTCTGGGTAGACTCAGCAGCTGGGGAAGGCCACCAAGGCCTGGTGCCAGGTGGGAGGAGGAGTGTGATGGGTGGGGCAGAGCCTTGAGCACTAGCTGCCTGTGGAAGGCCAACCTGGTGGGAGCACAGGCTTTCCCACTCTTGACCCCCTGGGCAGCCTCAGGACACCTCTTCCAAACCCACCTCTTCTTAGCCATCTGTCTTTCCTTCACTGTTTCTTCTACCTGGCTCTCTTTTTCTTCTTCCTTCTTCTCCTTGCTTGTCTTTGCCAGCCTCTGACATGAGTGCTTGGAGCACAGGACCAGAACTGCCAGTATCAGCCTGTTTGCAGCCTCGTTCCCCTTCCTACATACATACCCTCCATCCTCCATCCCTCCACCTTTCACTCTCCCATCTTACCCATTTCTTCTGCTTTTCTATGATTTCCTCATCTCTTGTCCTCTCCTCTTGCTTATTTTTCCCTCCCTGCACTGCCAGGATGTTTGTTACCTTGTTTTTTGTTCTTTCATACATTCATTCATTTGTTCACTGGGCAACAGCAACCTCTGTTGGTCCCACAGGCAGAGGGCTGGAATGTGAGACCAGAGGGACGTTGTCTCTGCTCTCAGAGAGCTCTTGGTTCCTAGGTGTTGTCCTCCCCCTGCTCTTTGCCCCACATGCCCAGAACAGTGCCTGGCACTCAGTAAGCACTCAATAAATAACCACTCTGTTGAATTAAAAGGCCTCTGTCTGCATGTCTTCCTCTCTCCATTGTCCCTGCCTTTCCACAGCCTCTTCCCCACTGGTTTAGTGACAGGGGAACAGACAGGCTGGGCCCAGAGACCCAGTGTGTGTTTGGGTCCCCACTTTCCAAGCGTTCTACAGCCCAGCAGAATGGCACCTGGGTTTGTGCTGCCCTCAAGCTCTGCCTCATTTCCTCTAGAACCCTACACCTGCGGCGCCTGTGGGATCCAGTTCCAGTTCTATAACAACCTGCTGGAGCACATGCAGTCTCATGCAGGTAAGCGCCAGCAGCCACCAGGTTCCTGCAGACCACAGAGACACAGCCAGAACTTGTTCTGAGGCCCCCTAGGGAACATTGAGCTTTTCTTGGAAATTGTCACAGGACATGGAACCTACCCTCAGGGAGCCCCAGCCAGTCTGTTGTGATACAGGGAGCAGGGATAGGGAGACGGGTTGAAGGAGGATTCCTGGATTTGGGATTCCTGGACTGAGCCTGGAGGCCAGGGAAGACATGGAAGCAGGAATTGAGTGTGATCTGAGGTCAAGATGAGCAGAGGCAGAAGGTGGGAGTGAAGAGGCAAGGGTAGATCGCCTTTCTCATCTCTGGCAGAATTGTCTGTGCTAAACACTCAAACTGGAGCCTAGGTTGGGAATGACCAGGACAGCCATTCCAGCACAGACTTCTAGGCCCCACCCAGAACTTCTTATTCTGTAGGTGTAGGCTGGGTCCACCCTACACCTACAGAATAAGATGTGCCTGCAGGCATTGCTGGTCCCGGGACACACTGAGGCAGCGCACAGGCTCAGATGTCACTGTCAGTCCTCTGAGCTTCTCCTCATACATAGCAAGGATTCCATCTTCCTGGCCAGCAACTGTAGGTGTCCGACATGGTGGCACCCACTCGATCTAGTTCCTATTCAGTCTGGAAGACACTAAATACTCTAATAAGTAAAGAATCCCAAATTCCTGGTGAATTAATAGGTGAGTTATTTATTTCTCACTTCCATGGCAGCCTGGTGCAAGCGGCATGGTTGGGGGCTCCCACAGGGTGACTTGGGGATCCAGGCTCCTTCCTTCCTGTTGCTCCATCTCCCCCCACATCCTTAGAGGCCTCACTTTCTAGGACTGGTGGATGGAAAAAGAGGATATGAGGAAGGCACACTAGTGCCACTTCAGACTACAAGTGATGTCATAAATGCTCACATTTCCATGAGGGGGAATTAGTCACATGACCAGCCTGGATGTGCCTAGCGCCACTGCCCAGGGACAGCTTAACAATGCAAAAAGAAACATGAAGCTGGGGGAGGGGGCAGCTAGCTGCCCCTCACCTGTCCCTCGTAGTAATCCTTAGGAACATTAGAAGTAACACATAAAGCCGGGCTTGGTGGTACATACCAGGAGGATCATGAGTTTGAGACTAGATTGGGATACATAGCAAGACCCTGTCTTTTAAAAAGAAGGCAGGGGGTGGGGAAGAAGAGAGGAGAAATTCATTCAGCCTTGTATTTACAGGGAATTCACTGCTCACTAGAAATTAATTCACATGATCATGGAAGGACCTTATTATTTATTTCTAATGAACTCTTTAAAATCAAGAGCTTGTTCTAGAGTGGCAGCCAGGACACTGGAGGTCCAGCTCTGCTCCATTGGTGGGTCTACCCTGGTGGCATAACCTCAGGCGGGAAACCATCCCCATCTCTAAAATGACAGCATGCAGACCCGAGCCCCTTGCTTCCCTGCTTACACCACGCTTCCTGTGTCTCCTGCCTCCTGCATGCCCTCAGCCTCTCTGCCTTCCCTCTGGGGAAGGTTTAAGGCATTTAGACCTGCCCCCACGGAGAACTAGTGGGCCCTGGGCAACTGATGGCAGTGGGTCCAAGTACAGCCCAACCTCTTGCAGTCCTCTCCTTCTGAAACCTGAACCCTCCACTGCCCCCTGCCAGCTTCTGGAAGCTGAGCCCTAATTAGAGAAGAGTCCATGTACCAATGCTAGCCCATTCCTCTGGCAGTTGGAGGACAGAGGCCATTAAAATGCAAATCAAGCCTGAGCCATGAGGTGGCCCACCTCTCCCTAACATCTTGACTTGTTTCCTGAGGAGCTGTAGGCTGCTTTGTTCTGGTCCACCAGGGCCAGAGAATACCTCCCTGCAATCCAACTGGCAGAACCCCAGCCAGGCTGAATCGGGATTAAAGGATTGGCTCCACAGAGGGAAATTAAGCGTCATGAGCTGCGCAGTTCACAGCACTGCTGATAAGGAGGATCAGCCTCAAATAACACCAGTCTCATTAAGAGGCTATGAATGGCACAAGCTAATTCCCACTAATAAACTTCCTCTCTTTGCTGTAGGAACCTGTCTGCCCTGGTGACAGTTCAGGAGTGTGTTGGCAGAAACAATGCTAACACTAACGGTGGTTAATGTTAGTGAGCTAATGTTAGTGTTCGTCGTGTGTTAGGTACAGTACATAGAGCTCTAAGCAGGTTATTTCATCAACTCTCTGAACAAAGCTGTTAGCTGTTGACATTTTCATCCCTTTATACAGGTAAAGAACTGAGGCTCAGAGAACACAGTCTCTGGCCTAAAGTTGCACAACTTGTAAAAACTACCCCACATCCTTTGAGCCACTACTTGGCACCAGTTTTGCTCTAAGAGTTTTACACATACTCACATTTAATTCTCGAACAGCTCTCTAAATTAAGTGCCTATGCTAACTCCACTTCACAGCAAAGGAAACTGAGGTACAAAGTGGATAGGTAACTTGCCCAAGGTTGTGAAATAGGCAGTAATTAGACCAGGAACTTCTCCAGAGCCTGTGCCTCATCATCCACCCTGTGCCTCTGTGAGTCGCCCCAGTGGAAGAGATAAAAACAACCTCCACGGATATCACCCCTCCAGTCCCTTACTAAACTCCAGCCAGGGCAACGGAAGCTAAGAGGCTCAAGAGACTTAACAGAAGACAAGTGAAGCTGGTAGTTGTGTTCTAGGACTTAGATGGTGCCATGCCAGGTTTCTGATCTTTGAGCCACCTCATCACTCTGGGCTTCAGTTTTCCCATCTGTGTGAGGTTAATAGGACTCTCACCGGCTGCAGTAAGGGTACAGAGATGATGTAAAGACCCGTGCTGCATTCTGAGACCCAGTGACAGCAGGTGCCTGTTAGAAGTACAGGTTAGGTGTTCCTCACCCAAAATGCTGGGGACCAGTGTTTCAAATTTCAAATACTTTTAATTCTGCAATATTTGCATATACATAATGAGATATCTGAGGGAAGAGAGTCAAGTCTAAACATGAAATTCATTTATACTCCACATGCACCTTATACGAATAACCTGAGGGTACTTCCAAACAGTGTTTTCAGTGCACCATCCCATGAAGTCAGGTGTGTAATTTTCCATTTGTGACATCATGAAGTGCTCAGAATATTTCAAACTAGAGCATTTTGGAGTGTGAATTTCAGATTAGGGATGTTCAACCTATACCTACTTTCTCTCCTACAGTGGTCTTTCTCTGGAAAGCAGCCTTTATCTAGCTTTGCATCCAGCCCTTTGCAGACATGCAGGATGAGCCCATGGGGATCCCTACGTTGAGTCAACCTCATTTTCAGCCCAAGCTGTAATCAAGCCTTTTCACAGAGCTTTTACCAAGAACTTCATTTGTAGCAGAAGTGCTGTCTGTGGGATAGGAACAGAAACACTTTTTTCAGTCAACCAATACTAGGCCTTGTTCTCTAACAGTAGGTTGAATAATCTCAATTTGAAGTCCTGTGGAAAAGTAGAGAGTTAGAGAATCACCCTGCAGCTTACCAAACCCCCGCATATTGGATGGAGGAAGGAAAACCGAAGCCCAGAAAGTTGAAGTGACTAAGTGTCATCCCACAGTGATGGCAGAGTTGGATTCAACTCTGGAGCTTTTTGATCCCTGTACTTCAGTGCAGAGGTTAACCAGAAAGTTGCTGGTTTTCATGGGAAAAGTCATTTCCCCTTTGTAAATGTAAGGTCTGTCCATTAAAAGCTATATATTCTCTGCAGTGGGAAACTGCACAGAAGTTAGAAAATGAATCAGACCAGCTACTCAGGAGGCTGAGTAGCTCTCAGCTGAGGACTGAGGATACAGGAAGATCAGGAGTTGGAGTGAGACCTCTTAAAAACAAAAGGGCTGAGGGTGTAGTTCAGTGGTAGAGAATGTGCCTAGCATGTGTAATTTCCTGGATTCAAAATTTAGCACTGCAAAAAAAAAAGAATCAACCAGTCTCACTATTCAAAGCTAACTACTATTACCTTTTTTAATACTCTGTTTTAAATTAAAATTGGATTTGTTGAGCTGTAGTTTACGTGAATAAAATTTAGTAGTTTGAGGAGTACAGTTTGATGAGTTTGACTGATGTATACAGTGGTTTAAGCACCAGCACAATCAAAATACATCACATTACCATTAACCCCAAAAGTCTGTCCGACCCCACCCCACCCTGCCCTGCCCATGCCCCTTTGCCACCATTCCCTTTCCCCACCCCAGCCACTGGCAGCCACTAACTGCTTGCTTTCATTCTTGTTCTTGCCTTTACTGTGAGTTTGTGTATATGGAGCTCTTTGTATTTAGTCTTTTGTGTCTAACTTCCACTTAGCATACTTTTAAAAGGCTCATCCTGTTCTGTGTTACCAGTAATTCCTTTGTATTGTTGAACAGTATTCCATTGTGTAGATGTATCACAATTTACTTGTTCATTCACTAATTGGTGGACATTTAGTTCTCCTATTTGGAGCCCTCAGGAGTAAAGCTGCTAAGACTTCATGCACGTGTCCTTGTGGGGGCATGTTTTTAGCTCCTGAGTCAGAGTAGAGATGCAGAGATGCCTGTGAATGTGCTGAGTCTATGTTTGACCATTGGAGGAATCACCAGACTGCTTCCCAGCGTAGCTGGACCATCTTTCCAGCCCCACCAATGGTGTGCAAAGGCTCTGATTTCTCCACGGTCTTGCCAGCACTTCTTATTAGCTTACTTTTTAGTAATAGCCATCCTAAGTAGTATCTCGGGTGGTTTGGGCTTGCATCTCTCTGGCAGCTAACACTGTTGAGCAGCTTTTCACGTGCCTGTTGGGCATTCATGTCTCTTCTTTAGAGAACAGTGTTTGGATCCTTTGCCTACTTCTCAGTTTTTTTCTTCCTCTTTTTATTGAATTGTAAGAGTTCTTTGTATATTCTACGTGTAAGACCCCTACAGATAAATGATTTGCAGATTTTTTTTTTTCCTTCTGTGGGCTGTTTTCACTCTCTTGATACTG